TCAGCAGCACACGCGCAGCATATTCTGGTTCTTGGAGGCAGTGCCGTTCACGACCACGAGGATGACGACGCTGACGACGGCGACCCAGACCTCTGGACTGACTGAGAGAAGCCGCGCCCAGACGGCGCATTGGCAAGGAAAATTGTGGCAGGTGGCGGCGTGCAGGCACAAGCAAAACATACAAATGAATAGTACATTGAATAATCGATTGCACTGCAGGCGGGTCGGTGGCAGACCATGGGAAGACTTTGTACCCCATAGGGGCACGACGCGAAAACCTGCAGACAATCCGGGAGGGGGGAAGGGGGGAGGGGAAGGGAGGGAGGGAGGAGGGGAAGGGAGGAGGGGGACCGAGGCAAACACAATCAACGAATATTGCACCAAGATTTGACGGCAACATCAATATTGCCCAACAATCAACGATATTGCACCAATATCACAATCAACGCCATACCTCTGGAGACTCAACATATAAAAGATCGAGCCACCGATTTGTTCAACATTCGGCATTCACAGGGCTTGGGGGTCCACTTTCAGGCCCTGGGACCGTCAGAGCATTGCCCCGGGGAAGGCCCAGAGGTCGGAGATGCGAAACGATCCACGCGCCGGAGAGTCAGAGATGTCGGTGACTGGTCGTGGCCGCGACGAGTGCGAGGGCGAGAGCGAGGGCGGGGCGCCGCGCAAGGAGTTCCCGTTCGGAGAGCCGTGGCCCATGCTGCCCCTCCCGGTGTTTGGGTTGTGCTCGCTCCCCGTGCCCTGCGCCCACGGATCCACATGCAAGGCTGCCGTGCCGCCGCTGGTGCGCGTCCCCGCCAGGCAAGGGCAACGATAGGGGGGATAGGCATGGGGGTGTTGCAGCGACCCCCGGTCGCCCATCGACGGCCGATAGGGGTCTGATAGCCCCACCCCGCCCAGAAACGTGCGGACTCGCTATCGGGGGCCTATCGCCGATCAATCGGCGATGTATCGCCGATTCCAGGTCGATGTTTCCCCCTTTTCCCCCTTATCGTTGCCCTCACCCAGCCGGAGGATGCCAGTTCGAAGCGTTCGGTCTCAGTTTGGTCTTATTCCGGCACGGAGTGTTCGGCCTCCGCTTGGGCTTATTATGTTTGGACGTAGCCTCTCCTGACCCAGGGGCCCGTCCGCTTATTTGTTGCATTTGCCTTTTCTGCCTCCCAAATATCGTTGCCTCCATCCACATCTGCCTCATGCTACCCCCGCTCACCGTCAGGCGGTCCGTTCCTCCCAGTCCACAGTCCTTACTCTCAATCCCCCCAGTCCCAATTCCTCCCTCTGTGTCCTTTCCCCGACTGCCACGTCGATGACAGCGGTGGGCGAGAATGGCAGAATCTAGCGTCAGCTCGTGATTAACAAGTGGTTGACCAGTTGATAGGCCCCGCGGGCGGCGAAGCAGCTTCAAATCACGCTCGCCTGGCGATGGTGCGTGACCCCACCACGGATGAGTAAAAAACACGCGGCGCGTCCGAACGGGAGCAGACTTACATGTGCGCAGTACGGTGGATTTGTGAGCGCCGCGCACGCGAATCTGCTGCAGACAGTTCGCAGTTCGCCAGCGCTAGCGAGACATCCCCCCTCACATTCCCCGGGGCAGCAGGAGAGCGCGCGAGAGAGAGAGAGAGGCCAACCGCCCGTTCCGCCGCCCCCCGCCCACACCGAACTGACCCCCCCCGGCCAGGCGGTACACAGCCTCCCCCCCCCCGCGCTCGCCCTTAGCCACCCCTTTCGTGTGACCCCCCCCTCCACACACAGCTCGCGAAGGACCGCCCCGGGCCCACCAGGGGCGACGCTGCACGGGGGCCACCTCGCGCGCGCTGGCCACGCGCAGGGCGCGCCCGTTCTCTGTCCGCCGGCCCGCAGACACTGGTCGTCGCGTAGAGGGCCGACGCGCCCTCGTGTCTGTGCCGGGGCGGCCACGAGGGGGTGATCTCACGGCCAGGGCCATGACATCTCCCCGGACGTCATGGCGTCCCTTCCTGTTTGAATGCGTCCCTTTTTGCAGGAACAAGAAAAGGCCTACGCATATATTGTCAGCGGTCCGCGCGGATTTCTGGGATCCGCGCTGGGCCCTCCTCCCTGGCGCGCGGAGCGCGCCAGGGGCGGCGCCGGAGGCGCCGCCAGGGGCGCCCAGGCGCTGATCCAAGAAATCCGCGCGGAGCGTCGAAAGTTTCTTTTATGCCGTTGTTCCATCTTCGACCCCTGGCCCTTGGGCCGCGCACATGCCTCGGGCCATGGTTTGCGAGACCACCCTCGTGGACGCCGCCGAGTGTTGGCGGGGGTGGGCCTCTTGCTGCACGCGCGGTCCGCCCGTCCACCGCGAGTGCTCTCCCATGCCCGCGGTCACCCTGACGCGGCCGCCCACTCGCTACGCGTAAGTCGGGCATGTTCCTCTACAGGAGGAATATTCAAGAATTGTAAAAATGGTATGGTGACAGTTTTTCGTGGTCTTCTGACTATGTTGGATTATGTTATTCCTTGCGTTTTCTTTTAAATCCGCCTTGAGGGGGACATGCCTGACCTAACGCTACGCCGTGAGGCTTGGCATCGCTCGGACGTGTGCATTTTTTCCTCGGCGAGGATCTTCGAGGAACATCTTGGGCCATCTTGCGGACAAACACGCGCACGAAGCCGAACAATACACAAGGGGGTATGGACGTCCGAGCGATGGCGGGGTGGTGTTCAGCCCGCTCGCAGGCTCACGCTGGCCCCCGCTGCGCTGACACCCCCTCGGTCGTCGGAGGCAAGAAGAGGTCAGGGCCCCGCGGCGCCTCTCCGCTTGGTGCCCCGCTCGCGAGCCCGGTGCTCGGAGTGCCGCTCCGATTGCGACGAGCGTCCGCCAGGGCTGCAACCAGAAGGCGCGGGGCCTTCTCTTTTGCATCGCTCGGACGTGTGCATGTCTTCTGGGCGAGGACCTTCGAGGAGCATCCTCGACCATCGGGCCAAACAGACGAAACCGATAAGTGCGCAGGCGATGGACGTTCGAGCGACGGCAAGTCTCGCGCTCTTTTTCCCCCGGATCGGCTTTTCATCCCGAGCTATTGTGACGTTCTTAGGGCCAGGCGAGGGCCACACGACGCGAAGATGCCAGGCAAGCACGGAAGAATTGAGACCTCTTGCGAGCTCTTGAATAACTTACGTTTCGCCGACGACATCCTCTTAATCGCGCACTCCAGCAGCGACATTGCAACTATGCTCTCCGACCTCAGCACAGAAGCGGCGAAGACAGGCCTCCACCTTCATCCAGACAAGACCAAAATTGTGCACAATGGACACGGGCACAAACGAACGATATAACCACCGAGCCACGTATTAGTGCACGACATGAAGATCGAAGTGTTGCCGCCATACCGCTCCACCAAGTACCTCGGCCGAAAGCTGCAATTCAGCGAGCACCACAAGACCGAAGTGGAAAACCGAATTTCTGGAGCGTGGAGAAAGTTCCATTTACTCAAACAGGAGCTTACGGGAAGAATCTATTCTATAAATAACCGAATTCGGCTTTTCCAGGGAACAATTACGCCGACAATGCTGTATGGATGTGAGGCATGGACGGTTACTCAGGAGTTGGAAAACAGAATTCGCAGAACGCAGAGACAGATGCTTCGCATGATCATCAGAACGCCTCGAAGAAAGAAGCTGGAGTCATCAGAAGCAGATCCCCGACGCAATCCCGATGGCGACAACGACGGCGACTACCCGGAAAACGACGATTCTTCAATTACCACAGGCAGCGGAGGGGATGTTCACAGCGGTCAACCACTTCCAGCCGCGGATGCAGACCAATTCCAGGAAGAAGATACCCTTGAGCCTTGGCCGAATTGGATCCGTCGTGCAACGCAACACGCCGAACATAGTATTTCAAATTTGGGGGTCGCAGATTGGATTACCACAATCAAAAAGCGTAAATGGAAATGGTTGCAAGAAATGTGTACTAACAGTACGAAAGAATGGGCACAGCGAGTGTTACAATGGGAGCCACAAAATGATACACACATACATACACAATGCCGTGTTGGACGGCAAAAGACCAGGTGGTGGGACGACATATTATCCTACATTAAACGGTGTGTCGAAGACGCGCCACAACATGTTGCAGGGTTACTACGACTAGCGGGGACGGACACATGGGACAATTTGGAGTCTGGGTACACACAACAGTGAGTGTCCATGGTTACGCGGCTAATATTCTAGTGCCGTCATCGCCGTCTGCCTCCTCCCCCCCCTCTTTGTCCTCCTTCCAGACAGTGTGATGTATCGAATCTTGTTGTCGCACTGTTTCACCAATGGCGGCGCCCCGGCGCCACCCTGCAGTGCCCCCGCGGCACTTTGACTGCAGGCCGCTTGTCCGCTTGTCCGCTTGCGGGGAAGAGAAAACTGGGAAACCCCAAACAGCGCGATGGCCACACCGCGTGATGAGTCAGTTGGGAGTCGGGGTGACCGCACGGGTTTAGGACGGGCCGTTTTCCGGGGATGTCTCGATTGGGGTCTCCAGGATCCCCTAACCGTGCGGTGACGGACCGTGCGAGAAGGCCGTTCGGGAATAACGGCCTCCGCCGCTTCGGGAGCGACGACGAGCGGCCGGCGGCGGTCTCGCAACCCGAGGATCAGGGCGAGAGGAGAGGAGGGGGAGGAAGATGAGGACGAGCAGGAGAAGGGCGATCAGGAGAAGGGAGGCGAGGAGGAGCAAAGAGGAGGAGGACCGAGGAGGAGGAGGAGGAGGACGAGCAGGAGGAGAAGGTCGAAGGGAGGACGAGGAAGGGACGAAGGGAGGAAGGAAGGGAGGGTGAAAGATGGAGGAGGTGAAAAAGGAGGAGCTCAAGGAGAGAGATGGTGAGGAGTCGAAGAGGAGGAGGAGGAGGAGGACGAGGAGGAGGGGGAGGAGAAAGCGGGGGAGGAGGAGGAGAAGCAAGGGAGATGGAGGAGGAGGAGAAGGAGGATGAGGAGGAGGATACAACAGCACCCTACCCACGCCCTGGCGAGAGGCCTCGATGCACATGGAGAGGTACGACTTCCCGTTCGCGTGTTTCCTCACCTTGTGGGTCGTGATTTTCTTTTGTTCGCGCAGATATTTCGCCCACAGGACCAAATTTACTCCGTGGCCATATTCGTTCTCCTCCTCCTCCTTCCCACCCTCCTTATCCTCATCCTCGCCCTCCTCCTCCTTCAGATCCTTCAGATAGCGGCGCTGAATCCTCCGGAAAGGGTGTAGCCGTCGAGGGGGGTTCACCTCCTCCCCCCCTCTCAGTAGAAGTACTCCCTGTGGTAGCCGAACACGAAGGTCTTGCCCCCCTCGGTCGCCGCCAGCCTCCTCCGCCTGAGGAGGGCGGCACGCTCACCACCCGAGGGGGCGATGGCGGTGAGGAACTCGCCGTTCAGTTGGGCTTCCTCGGCGTCGGGTTCGGCGTCGGCGCCCTCCGGGTCGGGGACGTCCGGAGGCTTGGCCGCCAGGTTGGCGGCTCGACTTCCCGCCTCACGGTGTTTGTAGCTGATGACGTGTTGCCTCCCAGCTTCGCGCCTCTGACTGCTGCCACTGCCTCTTCTCGCAGACGCGCCTCGGACTGCTGCCACTGCCTGCCAGCTTCCCCCGCTTCGTTGTCCTCTACGAGCTCGTCCTCTTCCTCTGACTCGTGGGGGGTGCTCTTCATGGCCTCGCCGATGATGCACTCGGCGAGATCCGCGCACATGACCACGGCCCTATCGAAGCTGGAGTCGTCGACCTCGTCCGTGGCGGTGATGGACAGCGTCAGGTTCGAACTGGTGTGCCCAGTACCTATGCCAGTAAGCCGTATCTTCACGCCCGTCTCGCTCTCGATGAAGTTTGCGTTGGTTCTGTGCTCCCCGAGGATTTGTTTCTGCCATGGGAAATTCGCGTCGATGCACTCTGCGTAGATGGGGATGGAGTGCACGCGGATGGTTCTCGCTGTGTCGTTCTGGCTCGCTGGGACGTTGTCGTTGGGACGGCCGTCGGAGTCCTTCCTGTGAGAGTGGTCCTGGGGCCATGGGCTGCCAGGGCCTGCGAGAGTCTCCTTGACGCAGGCTGGAACGGGGCCGCTGTTGAGAACCATGTCGACGAGGCAGCAAGCGTTGGGGGGGGGTGATCCTGCCGCCTGGAGCACTGCGATGGCTGCAGCACGCCATTGGGGTGACGCCGTTGCAGGACGTCGAGGGTCGTCAAGGGACGTCAAGGGTCGTCGAGGGTCGTAGGAGGTAGTCGAGGGTCGTCGGGGGTCGCCGAGGGGCACGGGGGCGACGAGGGACGCCGAGGGCCGTCGAGGGGCGTTGGGGGGCGTCGAGGGTCGTCCGGGGTCGTCGATAGGCAAAGGGTCGTCGAGGGTCCTCGATGGGCACGGGGCGTCGTCGAGGGGCGTCGTCGAGGGGCGACCTCCGCTGCCGGCTGCCACTGCCCGCTGCCATTGCCCGCACCACTGCCCGCAAACGCCTGTTCTCGCAGGCTCGCGCCACTGCCCGCTGCCACTGCCCCTTGGCGCCCATTCGCAACATTGTCGCAGTTCGCCTGGGGCGCTATCTTCTCCTCCCGCTTCTCGCGGGCGCTGACCCCAGAACTGCGGTTAGAGATAGTATGGGGCTCTATATTCGCCTTCCTCTTCTCGCGCACCCTCGCGGGGATCTTGCTTGGAGCCGAGATTTGTCTGAGCCAAGATGTTGCTTGACCCGCATCTGGGTTCGTGAGCTCGCCCTCTGGGTCCGTGGTTTCGCGGTCTCCTGGGATTGCTTCAAAGGGCACGGGATCGTCGAGGGGCGTCGAGGGGCGTCGAGGGTCGTCGTCGGGGGGCGCCGAGGGGCGTCGAGGGTCGTCGAGGGGCGTCGATGGGCACGGGGTCGTCGGGGGGCGTCGAGGGAAGTCGTCGGGGGGCGTCGTCGAGGGGCGTCGTCGAGGGGTGTGGTCGAGGGTCGTCGAAGGGGGGTCGTCGAGGGCTGCACTGGTCGCAGCGCTGCCACTGCTCGCGCCACTGCCCGCCACCGCCTGTTCTCGCAGGCTCGCACCACTGCCCGCTGCCACTGCATCTTGGCACCACTGCCCGCTGCCACTGTCTCTTGTCTCCTCTGCCTCTTGGCACCACTGCCCGCTGCCACTGCTTCTGTGCTCCGTCGCGGCGGCGTGGCGAGCGGCAGCTGCTCGCAATGCCCCAGCCGCCGCCTCCTGCAGGCGGGCAACCGTGGGGTATGCGACTCCCGCCGTGGAGCCGTCGCGTGCCCACACGCCCTGGCTGTAGCTGATGATGTCGGGTCCCAGCTTCGCACCACTGTCTACTGCCACTGCCTCTTCTCGCACTCGCTGAACGAGCCGGGCCATCCCACTGCCCACGATTCTCGCACAACGCGGTGTATGTGATGATATCTGGAAGTTGCCACGGCCAGCAGAAGTCTTGTCCGAATTCGTGAAGCTCGCAGCTTGTGTGGGCCGCAGTATCGATGTCCGAAATTCGAGAAAAAGATTCACCTGGCGTGTATGCGGGTGCCTCGGCCCGCAGCTGAGAATCGCACGGATCTTTCTGAACAACTGCCTGCTGCTCGCTACGGAGTTGGATGGCAATATTTGTCCAGTCTCGCATACTTACGCGCCTTCCTGTTCTGACCGCGTATCCCACACGGCGAACCGCCTTCACAGGCGGTCTCGACGATCTCCTCACGAGTCGTTGCTCCCGCTGAAGCGCTGTCCTCATGTTCGCGCTTCCGCTCGTACCGAATCGTTCTCCCGCTGCAGCGTTGGCGTCATGATTTCCAGCGCCATGCCACGGCATGGTTTCTGGTCCGTCCAAATAGGCCCCAAAATCTAGAAAATGCCCCCCCGAAAAACCATCGGAGGTGATTACACATTCGGTGTCGATCGATTCGTGGATTCGTTGCGTCGCAGAAGCCCTTTGTTCGGGGCGTCGCCACGCCATGCTATGTCAGGCGACGCGTCCTCCGAATCGTGCTCCCGCCGCAGCGCTGGCCTCATTTCCGCGCGTCCGCTCGTACCGAATCGTGCTCCCGCCGCAGCGTTGGCGTCAATATTTCCAGCGCCATGCCGCAGCATGGTTTTCGGTCCTTCCAAATAAACCCCAATATCTAGAACCCCCCCCCCCCCGAAAAACCATCGGAAGTGATTAGACATTCGGTGCCGGTTCTTTGATTTTCTGGGCCGCTGAACCCACGTCGTGCTATGTCAGGCTACGCGTTGGTGTTCAACACCATGCTGCGCCTTGTAACGCTATGCCCTGCCAAGACATCCGACTGTGCGAATACAGAAGAGATCTACGCCATGGTAAGGGATGGGAGGGAGGGTAGGAGGTCATATATGACGCAAACGCACCTAGCTTGTCCTCGTCCTCCTCCTATTCCTCCTCTTCCCCCTCCCTCGGGCTCATCATAAACCGCAGCCTCATCATCGTCATCGTCGCCGTGTTCATCATGATCATCATGAGCAGCATCACCATCATCACGATCAGCAAAATTATCATCATCATCAACAAAACCAGCCGCATCATCATCATCATCATCATCATCCGCATCATCCGTGCTATCAGAACCGACACCAGCATCATCAGCATCACCATCATCATCAGCATTTTCATCAGCATCCGCACCACCATCATCATCATCAACACCAGCAGCACCATCATCATCATCACTTGCAGTAGCATCAGCATTCGCATTGTCATAGGCATATGTATCGTGATGTGCAGCTCCATCATCATCAGCGACATCATCATTATCGTGACCATCCGCATCACCACCACAGTCACCATCGCAATCATCACCATCAGTATCAGCACTATCTGTTTGAGCATAATCCTAATCACCACCGTCATCAGCATCACAGGCATCACCATAATCCTCATATGAGTTGTGGCTCGAGGGTTTCAGGTGCGTCACCCAGGCTGACGCGAACCCTCGCGCTGAGACTCGCGCAAATACGGCGCGCGAGTCGGCGTCCCACCAATGAGCTCGCCGCGGTCGCCAGCGGGCGCGCCTGCTGCTGTCGGCCTGGGCAGGCAGGAGCAGCGTGCGCCTCCGCGAGCGCCTGGCGGCGGGCGCAGGCCTCTTCGCCGCCCGCCGCGGCCCCTCGCCAACCGCGGCGGCGGCGCGGGCGGCGGCAGCAAGGCGACCTGGGACTGGCCCTGCGGGGCCAGGGGCAACTGGGCCACGCGGGCCGCCTGCCGCGCATGCGGCGCCGAGCGGCCGCCGCGGGCGAGGCCGCGCTCCGCTTCGGCGTCGGCGCGGGGTCGCGGCGGCACCACGGCTGGCGCCGGCCAGGAGGTCGAGGCTCTGCGGCGCGAGCTCGACGGCCCCAGCAAGGAGAACCAGGCGCTGCAGCGCTCGGCCTCGCGAGGCGCCGCTGTCGCAGAGGAGACGCGCGGCAGCGACAGGGTGGCCGAGCTGCGGGGCCTCGTCGCGGAGCTGGAGGCCTTGGCTAGCGAAGACGAGGCCACGGCGTCGCTCCTGGCGTCCTACCGCAGCGAGATGGCCCGCATCCAGGAGGAGCAGCGCCTGGCCAAGCCACCGCGCGAGCAGCTGCGGGCCATCGACAGCAAGATCGGCGAGCTAGACAAGCGGTGCGTGGCGAAGCAGGAGCAGGTGGCCAAGCGGAAGGAGGCCCTCGCCAACGCCGAGAAGCAGCTCGAGGCAGCGCTCGCCAAGCGCGCCGCCCTCAGCCAGGAAGCGTCCGGTTCGGGCCGGTTCGGGTCGGTTTGGCGGCGGACCGGTTCGGTTGCAGCGGTTCGATTTCGGCGCGGGGTCCGGTTTTGGTCGGTCCGGTTTTGCCAGTCCGGGTCGGTTATGCCGGTTCGGTTCGGCGGTCGCGGGACGGTCCGGTTTTGGGGGGGCCGGTTTTCGGCCGGAGGGTATCGGGGGGGGGGTGCCGGCAAGGGGGGGGTGCCGGCACGGGGGGGGGGGGTGCCGGGGGGTGGGTGCCGGCACCGGGGGGGGGTGCCGGCACCGGGGGGGGGGGTGCCGGCACCGGGGGGGGGGGGCCGGCACCGGGGGGTCGGGGGGGGGGGGGTGCCGGCGGCACCGGGGGGGTGCCGGTCGGGGGGGGGGGG